GCTAAACCAAATGGTTTGGCAGAATTTATGCCTGGTGTAGTAAAAGGCATAACTGTCATCATTTTCCTTTTGCATTTTCATTTAAAAATCCATCTAATATAACAATAGACTAGAATTTAAGAACTAGAATTAGTTGAAATTTAAATTAAAATGGAATATCTTATGACAAATAGACTCACTGTAAAAAGCAAGTTCAATTATCAAGTTATGGATATATAGAAAATCATATCATATAACTTATCCTTCCACAAAGTTTCTTTAAGCATGAAGTTCCCTCACACAAGCTTCTAGGTACCCCATGTTTAATTAATAATTTAGACTCACAATCTGAACTTACAGAGTTGTGTAACATTGGTTATAAGCTTTTTTATCTGTAAGAGATGCAGAAAACAAGTAGTGGCCTTCTACCAAGATAACAGACCCAAGCAATGGCAAGCAGTAGATTATTATTGATTGAGATGAAACAAACATGACATTATGTATGCAATACATGGAATGGGGAGAAGTTTACCATCACTGGTTTGTGGAGCTACATTGGTATCTTGTGTCGGGCGAAAAGGCTCTCTAAATGAGATGCACAGCCATATCATATAAAAGAACCAACCCACAGCCATAACCCAGCCTGGTAAAGTGTTCTGATTGAATGTGAACTTGTAAATTTTAAACTCCGTTTGAAGTAAGCCAGCAAGAGCCGGGCCACAGGCCATCCCGAGAGCACTTGCACTAACAAAACCTGCTGAAGCTTGCATACGTAGCTTAAGTGGCACACAATCACTGATATAACGCCGGTTCACAGCTCTAGCAGAACCCAACCTGCAGTACAAGGAGTAATTTACTTTAACATCAAAGCAATATTGAACCAGTTGGCGCGCTAACATCAGTCCACTAATGAGATTTAAGTGACTTCATAATATCATATTGCAGTTGCCAACCTTTTTGCTGCAGAGCCCTCTGAGCCATATTAACTTACTGATAGTTTAACAATTACAAAAATAAAATAAAAAAACAGTAGGAGAATAAAACTGAATTTTTTTTCTTGGTACACAATAAGCAGATATTAATTCAGGAGTTGAATAATTACTTACCCACAGAAAAGCCGGCCTAACAGAAGTATTGTGATTGACTTGAAATCATAAGCCATTGCATACATGACATTTCCGATCAGAAGAGCGATGCTGCTGAACACAAGAGGCCTGAAGTATGATCTATTGGACCATGCACTGAAGTATACTGAAGAGAAGACTTGAGCAACAGCCATTGATCCAATCACAATACCACAAACTGTTGCCGGTGCACCAAGGCTCATGGAGTAGTCATCTGCTGTGGGTACTATAATATAGGTGTTTATCATATAAAGGAATGTGTTTGCCAGATTCAGGATAAGAGACATAAAATGGTATCTCTTATCATCAATGCTCTCCTCAATGGGAGTTGGAAGCTCCTCTTGCATAATAAGTGCATGTTGTGCCAAGAAGTTCAAGAAGTTGGTTGAGTGGCTTAACCGGTCAACTGCCGCTTTCATTGCATCAACTACAGAGTCCTGTTAAGAGATATGTTTACTATCAGTCTTTGGCCATATGAGTGCTGTCACAACTTGATATCACAAACTCAAAACTTAAACAGAAAGAAGCAAACAATAACCTCAAGGGGAAGCACAGATTGATCATAAATGGATAAGAAACTTCCTTGATGCTCCTGAAGTTCATGAAGATTGCGGGATATGGCTCCAACAACTGCCCCAAGACCCTGCACTTCCAGTAATAAGTTAAACAAGACTTGGATGGGAAGACAGTCCCACTTTGGGATCTGTAATCAATCTCTGGCAGAATCATATGATAATGCGTATGAGTGGCATTTTACCACATGCTTGAACACTTGCTGAAGCTGGGAATAAGGATGATTAGCTCGAGTCTTCACATAGTAATCGGTGAATCGATAACCGAAACGTTTATCAAACTTCTTCAGGATCTTACGCAGGCCCACAGCATTTATTTCAACAAAGAAAAGAAGCTTCAAAAGGTCCCTCCCGACATCCCTATAATTTTCCCGCAACTGGGATAGCTTCGCTATATCTGGCTCTTGTTGTAGAGCATCCTGATCTTCGTTAAGCTTGGCTATCCTTCCTGCAAGTAGCCCTTGTTGCTCCAACAGAAACAGGACTATCTTTTCAATCTGAAGTAATTGGTAGATCAGTGAATACGTGATCTAAATTTTCTATAGATAGCCAATTACAAAAAGCATAATCAGACTCTCATGCATTAATAAGTACCTGACAATCAAGCATTCTCGAGAAGTCCTTGAGAACATGGCGCCGATCTAGTGTTCCAACTTCAATTTGGTGGCCATATTGTTTCACTCTCTTCTTCATCAATTTGTAGTTTATATAGTAACTGAACAGGAAAAGACAAATCCCATAAGGAAACTGTAAGACAAAGTAAAGGCCACTTCCTTGTGAATTTCAATGAGAAATAAATTGGAAACCTTACAAGTTCAATAAATAGATGACAAAAATTTTAAGGACATAACAGAATTATACCATCACTCTTGCAAACTGCTGCCATAAAAGGGAGTGACTACAGATATCAAAGTCATCAAACGAAAGAGATGACTCCTTCACTTTTTACACTAGGGAGAGAAATTTCTAGTATATAATTTCTCGTTAAGTTCATTGCAACCAGACAAACTGCATTAATGTGACAGTATGTGACTGCAACGTACCCTTGCCATTCTTGAATTTGCCTCTCCTTTAGCTTTTTCCCAAAGGCAACCATCTTCTCCGACAAAAGAAAAGGCTACAAAGACCTGAGTAAGAGAAAGACAGCAATGATAACAGTGTTACAGCTTGCTTTGTAATAACAGAATGAAACTCTGTTCTTGTGAAACAGAGAACCAGATTGATAATCAGTGAAACATCTCCCTCAATCTTGTGGCACAGCCGATTTTTGGCAAAATAACCTTACACACACAAACACGTCTAAGTTGTCCTCTGCTTTAAGATGCTTGATACAAATATGCAGCCTACTGTCCAAATTTGTTGCCTGATTTTAGTCGCAGCGCATTCAGGCATACCAAAAGGAAGAAAATAGTTCCCATTATCAAGCTCATAGCTACAGTAGGGAAGAAATCAACAAGTAGAAAGAACAGCGTACGGCGTATCACACAATCAGAACTTGCACTATATTAGAACACCCATTATTATATAAGACCAGAATCATGCCATAACCTGCTACCTACTGCAAACTAAGCTATTTCCATCAGCTCATGATTATACAGCCTATGAAATATAAATAATCTTATGAGAGGAGTTAGTATACCACAAGTTCAAGTTGTGAACTTTAAGGTCAACAGAGTCATGTTTCAGAGATTAACAGAGGAAAGGGCAGTTGACCCAAACAAGGGACATAGAAAAAGATAGATATTCCACTGGAAGTAAAATCCAAGAAAGTAGCTAAAGTTTTGCTTTTTTTACACTACTCTTCACCTTCAAGGCGCCAACCTAAACATGTTTGAGGCTGCGTGGTTTGCCCGTTTAACCTCTATAAGACTCTCTCCCACAAACAGCCCCCTCAAGTTACTTTCAGGAATTACAGCTCAAATTTGACCCAACAGGTGGTCAGGGAGCAATCTCTGCCGTATGAACTAAGCTGAAAAAGATTGAAAACCTCAAGAGTAGGTTTGAATTGATTCACTTCTCAAATGAGAAAAGATTGAGCTTCAAGTAATTTTAGATCAGATAAACAATATCTGAAGTCGAAATTCAAAGTATTGCAGAAGTCCTCAAGGAACTATAGAAGGAACGTCACTTCACACACTCAAATGCACAATAACAGAGCACGAGAGCTTTACATAAAGAATTCCGCCTTCTCCCAAATCACTTCACTCGTGTTTGGTCGCTGAGACAAAGTGAGTAGAGTGGAAAGTTCTGTGGAGCTAAAGAGAGAACCAAATCGAAATCACCAGTTTGAGATGGGGGGTAAAAAACGTTAAACCACTTCCATTTGAGACATAATTTCCTCAGCAACCAAACAGACGACGGAAAACGGCAAGCGTTGACAAGATTAAGCACCGAAAGGGAAGAAAATCCCTCTCCGACTGCGAACTACCTACGGGCGTAGCTCGCATTGGCATCGAACCGCCGAAAGGAACGCGTTCAAAACAGGGGAAAGCAGCAATCAACAAGCCAAGAAAATCCGATTGCGAGAGAGATAGAAAGTACGAACAATTCACGGTACCTCAAAACGTATTCGAGAGGCGGCGAGGAGGAGCTCCTCGAGGAGAATTAGAGAATTGAAAAGGGAATTTGTCCCTTTCCGGTGATTGTTTTGGTTGGCTCGCGATTGGTTTCCGAGAGAAAAGTGGATCTTGAATCTTGGGAGGACGATGGACTGATTGGAAATTCTGGCGGTGGGGGCGGCAAAAGGTTCCCCTCTCTGGAGATTCAGCAGAAGAAGATGAAGGAAGAAGGAGAAGAGACAGAGATACGGCTCGGGTGTGTGTGGGTTTGTAGCTGCCTGCTCGCTCCTGCTGGCGGGCTAGTTCTGTTCCGTGAGAGTGATGGAGTAAGGCAGTGAAGGAGTTATTTATATTTACTTTATAATAATCCCAATAATGATTGATATTTATGTCCACATAATTTACGTAGCTAGTATTTAATTGATTTTGGTATCTCGAATTAATAAGGGCTTTTTTTTTTCATTGATTAATCTGAATTTAACAATTTCCACCTCCTTGCTGACAGTGACGCTCAGGTCTTCCGTCTTCCCTAATTAGAAATCAAAATTAGAGACAGAGACAGGGACAGGGATAGGGACCTCTGCAATAGGTAGCGGATGACAATTATGATTGGATCTGTACGTTCTTTAATGAAGAGTAGGTTTTATATCTATTAAATACAATCAAGAGTACATTACTCAAGTACAATCAATATGATTGTACTATTACAACCACGTTCAATAAAAATTTAGACCTATAAACTACCACACTCAGGAGTCAGGACAAACTGTACATGGGTATACCGTATACTTACATCTTAGGGCTAATACCACTGGAACCGAACTATTAACTTTGTGTCATTTGTGTCCTAAAGTATTCGATACGACATTTGTGTCCCAAACTATTTTTCCGTTAGAGTTGACCGGCATTGACTGTTAGTTTTTAACAGAAAATCTAGTCAGCGCTGATGTGGCATCTGAAGTGGAATATATATTATTAATTTATTATTATTTTCCATATAAAAAATTAAAATTCCAAAATTAAAAAAAAAAACTAATTACCCTTCCCTCTCCCGTCTCCCAACCTCCGCCGCCGCAACCTAAAGAAGAAATCGACGGCGTCACTATGGCCACCGGTGCCGTCGCGGAGGATCGGCTCAAACTATGTTCCGCCGACGCCATAGCTATTTCCTCTCCCTCCCGACCATATTCCCCGTCACTTCTCACTCCCCTTCCCTTCTCATTCGCCGACGGAGGCCCTGGCAATATCGGAGGTGGGGGCGATTGATTCTGTGGTGGTGGCGGCGGCGACTCTGGGGAGTGGGCGCCAAAACCCTTGCCCAAAAGGCCAAAACCCAGATCCCTTCATCGCTCGCCTTCTTCAGCTGCGCCTCGTCGAATTTCGAGAAATCGATTCCAGTTCCACAAGGATGCAATCAAAATCGGAGAGAGATTTCAAAAGGGGGGGGGGGGGGGGGGGGGGGGGGAAGAGGAACAATGAATTCAATTTGCTTGCCTGCAGCGAACGGTGGCATCGACGGTGAAAGCGACGAGGAAACTACCGGGATTCTCCTCGTCCTCCTCGATCCGAATCGTCTCCTTCATGACGTCGACGTCGTTCCTGATCGTCACGGCCTTCTGGTGCTCGACAGAGAAGGAGGAGGGTCCTGGGGGGTTTTGTGTTCTTGTTTCATCGATTCCCGCCGCCGGAGAAGACGATTCATCTCCCTCTCGCCTCTATTCTTCGACTGACCTAGCGCAGCAACCAGCCACACAGATCTCTCTCTCTCTCTCTCTCTCTCTTATACTGGATTTGGCGGTGACGGAGGAAGAAGGGAAGATGGTCGATGTCAAGAGGGAGGGAGAGCTGTTTTTCTTTTATTTTATTTTTTTAAGTGACATAAAAAAAATAAACAAAAATTAGGTTTAATCATTTTTATAACAATATATTTTTTATTTAATTTTTAATTAAAAATATGAGGTGTCACTGACGTGGCATCTACGTGGTTGCCACGTCAACAAAAGCCAATGTTAATGTTGGCTTCCGTTTGGTCAACCGTTATATATAACGGTCAACAAAATCGTCAAGACATAAATGACACAAAACTATAATAGTTTGGGACACAAATGTCGTATCGAATACTTTAGGACACAAATGACACGAAGTTAATAGTTCAGGTTTCCTAGTGGTATTAGCCCTACATCTTATTCCAGTGCATTAGGGTTTTTAAAGGATGACAATTGGTCGGTTTGGAGGTGAATAGTTGAGCTCTACATATTCATTACATTCATCAGTTGGTATCAGATGGATGACTTCAGTTGCAGTATCTTACGACAGACAATTAACCAGCAGATCTTCTTACTAAAGCGTTCTCCATGAGTCGGGCATTGGTTAGGTTTCTTTCACACAATTGAAGTTGCGCCAAGCATCATCAGTTTGAGGGGGTATTGAATTTATTGAAAGGTATATTGTGCATATACTTACCTTATGTCAAGGGACCAAATTGTATATATGTTATATTGTGAGGATCGGATGATGATTAGATGCACACACCTTGTGGTTAGGGCTTGTGCATGGCCGACAATATATCCCTTAATTAGAGTTTATAGCAGGTGAATTGAATAAGATAGAACACCGAGTTAATCACCATGGAGTAAAGTTTCTCTGAGAGGCTGAACCACGTTGAAGTTTGTGCTCTACTTTTCTTTATGTGAGTTTGATTGTTTTAACACTCTATTGCTCTAGTCTAATTAATTCTAGCTTTATCTATATTCATATCGAACTTGGCTACGGTATATTGGATTGTTGATCCAATGATCCATACACCTATTTTTTACTCCTACTAAACATTCGTTTTTGGAATATTTTTCTGAACAAACCTTGTTTATAAATTTATCAATCTAATAAAATCAATATCGATATATTTTCTACACTATTCACACCAAACTAAGCAAAGTGAAAAAAACCGGTGCATGCAAATCAAATTAGCTCATCAGAGCTCACCTGTAACAGAGGTTGATATGTTTTCTTACTTTGGCGACGTGGAGGAGATTTTTACCAGAAATAGCACAATTTAAAAAAAATACAAAAATAGCACCCAGTTCACACAAATTCCAAAAATAGCACCATTTTTTAAAAATCGCACGGTAGAGCTGCGGTTTATAAGGAAACCGCATGGGTACGAAGCGGTTCTTGATAGGGCATCCCAAAAACCGCGCGGGAAAAATGCGATCAACGCGCACGGCGTAGCGGTCCCCAGGACCGTTGGATTAGGCGATGATCGAACGGTTGACCGCGCGCCAACGCTGCGATCCGCGTCAGGGATCCAGAACCACGCACTAGAGGAACAATTTGCTCCTCGGATTGCGTGAACCGCGCCCTTGAGATGCAGTTTTGGTGATAGTGAAATTACTTAACCGCCCCTGGAAGGTGCGGTCTGAGTGCTATAAAAACCCCTACCCCCTCTCCATTTATTCACACCACAACTCATTCTTCTCTCTCTCTCTCTCTCTCTAAAATTTTCTCTCTATCCATCCCACTCTCTCCAAAAGTCTAGGAAATAGTGGTATGTTGGTTGCGGCTAAGTCCGATCTGCCATCAGAAATTATTTCTTTGATTTTTCCTTCAAAACCCGTCGAATCTTTGTCCGACTTTCGCGAAAAAATGGACGAGTGCTTCCAAGAAGAGGGATTTTATTATGATAAATCAAGCGGTACGTACTCATTTTACCAATTTTTTTTATTGTTATAACATTTCTAAAAAAGGCACGGTTGGAGTCAATTAGGCATTTTTAGTTACAAAAATCGATCGCCGACTCATCACCGCATTAGTGGAGAGATGGCGAAAAAAGATACATTGCTTCAACTTTCGTGAAGGAGAGTGCACCATCACACTAAAGGACATCGTCATCCTAACCCATCTGCCCATCGAAGGTAATGCGGTGTGTGTGAACCCATCTGTCTCAAGCTGCGGTTTTTAAAAAATGGTGCTATTTTTGGAATTTGTGAGGGTTGGGTGCTATTTTTGTAATTTTTTTTAAATGGTGCTATTTCTGGAAAAAAAATCCGACATAGAGACTCAGTCTTGGATTTTTTCCAAACACCCAATAAAAGCAAGTCGTTTGGATGAGAAATTCTAATTGATCAATTTAACTCAATTGTTTCGTTTTCAAATAATTTGGCCAAATTAATCCATTTTGTAGCACAAATTTTAGATACAACAATTATATCTAAGGAATTTCAATTGACTCGTTTTGAAACAATTACAATTATTTGGGATGGTGCATATTGTTTTTAATTGAACCATCTAATCCAACCCTTATCTCAATAGTCAATAGTAGCCTTCTTAATAAGTGGCCGTTGGTGCCTTGATGGGCCGTCACTACTCACGGGTCGGAATGGCAATGGGCAGGTTGGGTGGATTTTTTGGTACCCAGACCCACCCCGTGGGATCGGGTTCAGGTCGGGTAATTTATCACGGGTCGCAAGTTGGGACAGGTCGACCCAATGAGTATGCAATTTATATGAAAAACATTAGAAATATTCGATATTTTATTATAAGATCAAGAAAACAAACAATATTATGATAAATATAGTTAAATTATTAGAGAAATTGAGATTTTCACTAATTTACAACTTTATTATAGCTAAATTATCATGTAATAAATGAAAAATCCTAAATAATTTAATTAAGATTACATGTAATTTAGGCAAGAATGGATCGAGATGGTGCAGGTTGGGTCTATGAGAGTACCCATGCCTGCCCCTCCCCGCATACGGGGCGGGTCGGATCCGTCCAAAACATGCCAAACATGTCGGATAAAACGAGTCAGGTCAAAATTGCCATCCCTACTTAGGGAACAAGAAATGTTGGAAGGTTTTCACCCAAAAAAAACAATTGCTGTAGAAATTTCCTAGAAATTGTCAACAGAACTAATCATGCACGTGCTTAATAACACCATAAACAAGTTTCCATGATTTAGCCTTTTCATCTTCTAATCCTCACATTAGTGCCATCAAGCCATTAACGCACTTGCAAAGATGACGTGACTGTACTTATTGTTAATTGATAGTATTGGTATATATATATTTGATGTGGGCAATTTTATGTAAACTTGAAAGATCGAATCTTACAATTTGCTTGAAAAATTTTATACATCTCCTTTTTATATAAAGGCAAGAGGAATATAATAATAATAAAAAAAACACATCCAAAACGTTCAGAGAACAACGATGTATCAGAAGCACATGATTTAGGAAGAAGAAAAGGTATGTATGTGGGTGAGTGATTAATCTGATTGGGCACCACCAGCTTATTAGTGGGCAGCAGGAATCATGAGTAGTGGGGTTGGTACATAATAACTGATAACACCCTTACCTTCTTTCTCCCCAACTCTTAACTTTGTCAGTTTGCACTTTGTTGTGTGATGCTTAGGTTTGCTTGGTCCCAGATTCAGATCCATAACAATAGCACAAAGACCTGAACCGATCGATCGAATGAACTACTACGACATCAATGATACTCATAGTAATTACTAATTAATGCCTTTCCAGCCAGCCAGCAGCTACTGGACAAAACAAGTTGAAGAGACCGCAGAGGTCACAAATTTAACTTGTAACTCGAAATGCTGATAGTGATAGGAATTTTTTTTATGAAATATGTGATGGAGATTTAAAGATGGGGCATGACGTATTAAGAAGTTGGCATGAGTTCTGAATCTTTGCATTATTGCCGCCCCCCACCCCCCAATATATTTTGCATTAATGGTCCTCGTCGTGGCCATGGTGCAGGGGCCTTCAACATTTTGGACTGGTAGGGTTCTTTTGTAGTAACCCGAGAGTGACTCCAACCATATATATAATGTGTATGCTACTGTGAAGACAGGAACAAGATCAAGATATTAAGATCAGTAGCAGAAGAGTCCTTGCACTCTTCCATAAATTAGTCCTGACATTTCGGAAATAGCACGTACTTCTTTGTTATTTGTTTGATTATTTCCATACAGATCATCAAGTGTAGGGGTGGGCAACGATTCGATTCACATCGGACCGAATCGACTCTCACACCAAATCGGATCGAATTGTTTATTTGTCGATTCGACTTTGGTTCCTGAATTTGGGACATTTTCGGTTTTGGTTCGGTCCCTGACTTTGATTCACCGCTCTCGCTCCTATAGTCCTACTCTCAAATCAGAGTTCTCATCCGCATTACTTCGATCAAGAGAGCTGCTTACTTTACCTACACGCTGTGAACCAGGTATTTATACTGTGTTCTCTTTTCTTGTTTAATGTTTCAGATATGGATAAGATGCGAATAATGACACCACATAGACTTCTGCCAAGTCTGACAACACCACTGCAAATTAGCAAGGTTAAGAACTATTTGTTTTATTGCACTAGTTCTTGGAGTAGTTAAACTCATTTCTAATGCCTTATATCATGTGCTTATATTGCAGAAGATAGGCTTTCTAATGATCAGTGGAAATTCTGAAGATTGGGCGGTCCAACGTGAACTCTTGGAAGTGAAAATGGAAAATTAGAGAGGCAATTAGTTAGACTATCTTTGAGATTGAATAAAAAGACTTTTGGCTTTAGGTAAGTAGTTCTCGTTTAGCTTTTTGCATAATATTTTGGAATATGTGGTTTTTAAGAATTGTGTAGTATTTAAATTGGGATAATTTGATTACTTCTTTTTGTATAATTACATTTTTTAATTCTTGTGTTGTCCTTTAAGAGTGATTTTATTCGAATAAAAGATGTGTCGGTCTAATGGGATGGTCCAGACCGAATCGGGCCATATATGGTTTGATCCAGACCGAATCAAAGTAATAACGATTCGACTTTGGTCCTTGATTTGGTCTGGTCTTGGACCGAATCGACCGATGCCCATCCTAATCAAGTGCATGCTCCAGACACTTCCGCTATCTCCCGAGTTTGTAAACTCTACGGATTTTGTATCCTGGTTCTAGGATCTCTAAGCCCTGAAATTCTTGTATGCCCATCCTTTCATCACCTTAATTAATATCTCCAAGCTAGTT